GTGCAGTGCGCAAGGCCACGTCGCGGGCGGGCCGGGCGCCCAGCTCCCCGTAGCCTTCGGTGCTGTCCCGGCTTTCCTGGTCCTCCGCAGTCCCGCCCCTGTCGGCAGGTCTTTCCTAAGGCCACGAGACAGGCCCCCTGGAGGGCTCCCTCTTGCTTCTGCCGCCTGGGTCTGTGGCCAGCTGGGGTCCCCTCCTGTCCTCACCGGCCCCTCTGTCCTCCAGCCCCACGGACCACCCGGCTCCCACCTGCTCTGGGCCCCCGGAGGCCAGCTGCCTCCGACCGTACCCACAGCTACCCAGGACCGCTCACCTCCTGGTGGGGTTTGGCCAGTGGGGAGCCCCCGCAGGTCTCCGGAGACAAGGGAGAGAGGGAGGTCAGTGCCTTTCTGCCCCCGCCCTTCCCCGCGAGTGCCGCCTGGGGGTGGCCGGGGCCCTCACCGTGGCTGGCTCCGTGCTGCTCGCCCCTGAGTCCCGGGTCCTGGGGTGGCTGCAGCCCCCCAGCTCCGATCAGGGTGGCTGCACCGTCCCGGGCCCACCCACCTCCCCACCTTCCCCCACGAAGAGTCCCCGTGCGAATAAACCCTGCTGAGGTCGGCCGGGCGTGTGGGCGTGTGTCTTCGCTGGGCGCTGACGGTGCTCAGTGTCCCCCGCCCCACCCTGATGCCAGACCTACTTCCCAGTCAGTCCCTCGTCCTGCACTGGACAGGGGTGAGGTTGGGCCCTCGACTGCTCAGGGCACCCAGCGTGCCTGCCTCTGGGCCGTCATCCCACCAGGAGGGACGTGGCTCACAGACAGCGAGTCTGAGATTCCGATTGGGGTCTGGGCTGCTCCCGAGGTCACACCGGCCGTAGCTGTGGACAGCCCCCCCCAACAAAGCCCCCCAGTGTCCCTCGGTGGGAGTCCGGGCCCTGTGCCTCCACCTCAGGACCCAGGCGCCTAGCCAGGCCGTTCTCCAGGCGGGGCGTGCACGCCCGTGTCCTGTCCAAGCTCAGGGAGCCCCCTCTGGCCAATGTACCAGCTGACCTCACTGACCGGTGGACCCTCCCGCCGTGCTCCCCCTGCTCCCTTAGCCAGCCCGTCCTGGCACCTGCTCCTCTGGCCGTGGAGAAGCGCTCGCCTCCATCCCGTGCTCGAGCCTTGCGTTCCTGTGGGGGGCTGTGGGGTGCAGCAGGCGGATGTGGCTTCCACCACTGCAGGCCAGCGCGGTGGTGCCAGCACTGTGCTCTGCTGAGGGCGGGCTCTCCTCCCGGCCGGGCCCTCAGAGACACGCTGGGGTCTCCGCGGTGACAGCGTGGGAGCCAGTCCTGTGGCTTAGACCCATGGGAGAGCCCCATGGACCTGGTTATCTGAGCCTGTGCGGCTCCCACACTCCACCCACCCCTCTCAGGGGGATTTGTTCCATTCCCCCGAAAGGTAGAGGACGCCAAGATGGAGCCCCTCGTCGGGGAGGTGGTGTGTGGGGCGGCAGTCACAGCTCCACGCGGGAGAGCGGCAGGGTGGGGAAGCGGGGAGCATGAGCTGGGCTTGGGGCCGGGGACTCTGGAACCAGCCAGGAGCAGCCCTGCACGTGGGGTCCTCGGCAGGGGCGGGGGCTGGGCGGTGCTGGCCCTCCCGGGTCTCTGAAATAGTGAAGCGTGGCTGCCGGAGACGGCTCCTGAGCCCTGGGTTTGGAGCCTGGGGAGGCTGCAGCCCGTCCCACTGGCGTCTCCGTGGGCACAGGGCCCGCAGCGCAGGCAGCAGGAGGGGCTGTGTCCTGAGGGAGACGAGGGAGGGAGGGCCAGATTCGGGCCGGACAGGGACCGGCGCTGACCACAGGAGGCTGTGGAGGCCCAGGACTTGGTTCGGATGGGCAGCTGGAGGCCAGGGCCAGGTGACGGCTCCCAGTGGCCCCACCTGCCCCCACGGAGTGACCACAGCGTGACCGCAGCGGGCAGGGGCTGGCTTCCGTTCAGAAGTCCCGCAGGCGGTGTGGGGGCACAGCCCAGCCTGGGAGCTGCGGGCAGCGAGGCCCCTGGGGTGTTACTGCAGGGAGATCACGGGGCAGCGGGCGAGCCGGTACCAGTGGGGCCCGGTCTGCAGAGCCGCAGGGGCGGCATGGCCGCACCACGTCGAGGGGCCTGGGGAGAGACGCTGCTCGCTTGGGGCGAGGTTGACTTGTCAGCGGCTCCTCGGTCTCACGGGGAGCAGCGACTGCCCAGTGGCCTCGGAGGCCTCAGCTGGCGGCTCGGCACGGGCCTGGCTCGTCCCGCCCAGACGCCCCACGCACGAGGACTTGGACGCCGACAGTGGGGACCCGTGAGCTTCGCTTGCAGCCGCTCCCAGCGTGACGCTGACGTCGTGATGTTTCCGCAGGGACAGCGGAATGCTGCGGGAGTGGAGAGCGCGCACGCAGACCACGCGGGCCAGAGAGGAGCGGCGCGGCCAGGGCCCGCGGCCGCGGAGGGCTCC